CCTGTGTTAAGCTGGGCCAGTGGGCCAGCACCCGGAGGGACCTCTTCTCCGAGGCCTTCTGTGATGAGTTTTCTAAGCTACACGTTGAGGTGAGCCCCCACCCGTGGGGCCACACGGACGAGCTCCTGAGGAAGGCCTTCGGCGAGGACTGGACGAGCATCCTCAAGTTCCAAAGCCGGGAGCCGGTGGGCTCGGGCTGCGTCGCCCAGGTGTATAAAGCTTATGCTGACCTGACGGCTATTGCCGGCTCCCAGGCCAAGGAGCTAGCGCGACGCTCGGAGTTCTGGTCCTCTTTCGAAGCGTGGGAAGTGTCAGGCTTTAGAGGCCTCTTCAGGTGGCTGAGGAGGAGGAAGAGCAAGGAGATGTGGGACGAGAGGAGCCGGGAGGAGCTGAGCCCAGCAGACTGCTCCCGGGGAAGTCCTGTGAGTGGGGTGTCCGTTACGGAGCAGATGGCGAAACCGCTCCTGAATCCAAATCCTTCATCAGCCAGACATCTCACGCCTGTAGCTATTAAAGTAAGTCATACATCTGACTGGTAGATGTGTGAAGATGGAGCATGCTGGATGAGGCCGATCAGATTTTAATTCCCATTGCGATAAGCAGCTGGCTAGAGCCAGGTAGAGCGAGAAAAGGGATGCTCGTCTCCCTTGCTGTCTTTTCTCAGCGCTTTGGTTCCAGCCAGCTGCAATCCAGGCTTGTGGTGGCCCCAGCTCTTCCCAGCCTGGAGAGCTTGTGTGCATACTGCCTGTGGCACTGTTTGACGTGGTATGTGGATACCAGAGATGCCTGCGAGGGCCCAGTTGACCTTAAGAGAATTAATATGAAGATTGGTTTCACCTTCCAGACTGTGAAACCCCTTTTCTGCTCACATGAAGAAATCTGGAAGAGAAGTTCTTTCCAGCAAGTTTATTTAAAAAGTTTATATTCAAGCCGCTCCAAATACGTGTTGATGCTACGTGGCAGGGAGAGGGTGGGAACGTGAAAGCAGTGGAAAATAGGATTGGGTGAGACTGAACTCTCCAGCACAGATTTATGCCATTTGACAGTTATAAAATGTGTCTTTACAACTTAATCCATGGCAAAACGTGAATTCTGAGGACTAGCTGGGGAAGCCTTGTTAGCTCCCAGGCTAATAGGCTGGGTTCTGCCTATTTGGAGTGTATCACTCAAGCTGTTTGAAATGGAGTGTTTGGGGAGCTGATCTTGCCACTGTTCATTCTTGCGCAGGTCCTGCACCCTGGGCTGGTCCATCAAGTCCAGATGGATCTGTTTCTCATGAAGATGGGCAGCCACATCATTGGACTTCTCCCTGGATTCAAGTGGCTCAGTCTGACAGAGATTGTGGAGGAGTTTGAGAAGCTTATGATTCAGCAGGTGCGTGCCATGCCATGGTCCCCATGTACTGAAACAGAACTACCAAAGAACTCCGTCCTGCTGATGGCTGGCTCCAACTCTGTTCATACCGCTACTTTTTAAAGGGTTAGATGAAGGCTTGCTTGTTCTTCCGTTATGTTCTTTATTCTAATCAATCACGTAATGTTACTGTAGGAAAGCTTATATGCTCACAGACTGAGAAGGCAAAGCAATGAAAAAACTAAGTCTTTTTTAGACTTTGAGCATGTTTTCGGTGGATAGCCTGAACAGCCAGTTAGCCACAGTTGCAGTCCTTTTTGCAACCTCGTGAAAGATAAACACTGGTGAGAGACCTCTTCTTAGGAAAAGCATCTCCAAACAAGTGCTCAGACAGGTGTTTTTACTCGTCAATCCTACGTGTATGTTTGCAGCCTATACTCGCTGGTCATGTTTGTTAGCACTGAGGTATATATATATTGGTGTAACTAATATACATTTACATAAGTTAATAATACATTTTATATTGTGCTGTCATCAGACTCGTAGTATCGGTAAAGTTAAGCTTTGCAAATAGATCTGAAAACACCCTGATTCACTAATGTCCTAAAAGACACAGTTGTGAAATATCCTTACTACCAAACTTACAAAGATTTCACTACAGGCTTAATTAAGCTTAAGGTTCTATTAAAATGAGCCATTATCTGCTCATTTCATTTTTCTGTCTAGATTGCAGAGTCTGAAGTCTGTCACAAGCTTTTGAAAGCCTTAGTTATTTTCTACTGTTGAAAAAAATCTGTGCAGTAAATCCACGTTGTAAACTGTTGACTGTATTCAGATGTGACTCGAGGTCATTAGTACCAGTTTAGTTTGGCAGAGCTTTTGGTGGATGCGCTCAAGACTGAGGATTAGGAGAGCGTCTGATGGGCTTGTTGTAATTTCCTTTCATTTCTCTTCGAAAGACCAAGAAGTATTCCTGGCGTATTTCCCATTGCCAGATGAGGGAGGTGAGGCGAGGTTACCCTGCCTCCTTGAGCAGCAGAGATGCCCTTGTGTCGAGGCACTGGATCACTGAAGAGCTGAGGCCAGGACTTTGTGTAGTGGATTGTTTTGTGCGTGTTACATTAAATTTCTTCCTGCTATGGCTGCCTATCTGTAAAGCGAGGCTAGGGCTGCGGTTCGAGCCTGCCTGCCTTGCTATTTGCATGGTAAGCTTTGGTTCAGGATCTGTCTTACCCTTGACAATAACACAGTCCTGGTCTTTTTTGAGACACCTCACCTATAGTAAGTCACCCGTATTCTGAAGGTGCTGGGTTGTGGGCCATCCATTACTCAGTCTGTTACTCTAGTCTTCCATCAGGAAAGCTATAACCATGTGAGAAGCACCACTCTATCTTGTTTTCATTCTGGCTTTCTGACTAGTTTTGTTTGTATCAAGTATTGCACCGTACAGTCATATCCTCATACAGGATCCTGAAGATCTGATCCTAATCGCATCTAATTTCCAACCTGCCTTTTCTTTTTCTCCCTTCGAGATTGACTTGCGCTATGAAGCCAGAAATCTGGAGCGCTTCCGACAAAATTTCCTAGATGTCGATTTTGTGAAGTTTCCAACTCCCCTTCGGCCTTTGGTAACGGCGGATGTTCTAGTGGAAACATTTGAGGTAAGAATTGCAGGGTCTGGGAGCGCTGGTATCAGTGAGAAGGCCCTTAGGAGAACAGGCCAAGGAGGTCTTTTTCTGAGAAGGAGCAATCAGAGGCAGAAGGATGCTTTTCTCTTATTTCGTTAAAGAGATTGGTGTCCTTCCTCAGCGTCTCTTCCACTCTCTCTGTTTGTAAGCAGAAGACAGGTGGCAGACAACTCCATATAGAGCACTTGGCCTGAAACCAAGCAGACCAGCCCTGTGTCCAGCCACCATGGGCTTGCCTGTGCCTTGCAAACCAACACCATGCTTCAGCTCTCCTCTGTGGTGGGTCAAAGCAAGGGGCCTAGCGATCTGCCACTTCCTGATGCTTGCCTCACTTCCCTTGTGGACGTTTGAGTCGCAGACTGCGGGAGCTGCGTGAGGACACTGACATGATCAATGTGATCTAACAAGTGAACCTTTATTTCCGTGTTTCCAGTGCAATTTATAACCCTCGACCACACCCAATAAATACTGATTGGCTTCATCGCAAATAACAGCCCATAGTCCAACCTGACTGGCCACATTGCGAGTCATGTTCAAGTCATGTTCACAAATGTTCACACCCATCTTCTTCAAGAAATTAAAACTGCGTCATTAATGGCGGCTGTCTCTTCTCCTGCACCTGTAAGATGTTCGTGCACCCTGCACCGGAAGTTGTTTATGCTTTCAGCAGTTCCGGTACGTCCCAGCTCAGATTCTCTGGAAAGGCTGGATTGTTCACATGTCCCTTATTTCGTAAATATCCTTCCACAACAGACCAAAGCTACTCTCAGCCTTAGTTTTTGTGCATGTCATCCTGGCAAGAATATTTCTGCCCCAGGCTGTATCACCCCCTTTCCAAAGAACAAACCCTTGCTTCTCTCATGTTCTCCACCACAGTAGGTACAGCCTCTACTGAGCAGGTCCTTTCTAGGCTGTTCTTACCACCTTCCCTCAACGCTGGGCACCTAGGTAAAGGTGTGGTTGAAGGTGGGACGTAGGGTGCGTTTGACTCCAGCTCTGTCTTTGTTTCAGGAGAGTGAGCCTATTTCACGCTACCTGCATGCGGAGATTGCCACAGAGCTGAGGCAGAGACTGGCAAAGATGGGCATGGACATGCTCCTAAAGATGGTAGGCACTTGGCTGAGGGTGGAAGTGAGGGTCGTTTTCTTGCAGAAGCTATTCAGTTGGGGTAATAGGACAATACGGCTAAAGAGAGAACCTGTTTGCTTCAACGTCTCCTGCCCTTCTCCCCATGGACTCAAAGACAGAGCTGTGCCTTTTGGAGCCAGCCCGCAGGTGCCAGGTGTCTCACGGTAACCCAGGAGTGGGGCTGCTGGGGCACTGCAGCCCCTGAACTGGCAGAGGGAGGGTCTGTACTGCGTGTGCAATGTGACAAGGTCTGAGCAAAGCCTGGGCTAGATATGCCAGTACTGTGGACTTTGACGTGGAGCTTTTTCCACCGCTGAAGGACGATCTGGTTGCATACAGCAGGGTCATCCTATGCAACTTCATCGGTGCACTGCTTAGGAAACCCACTAATCCATTTAATGAATATTCACATATTGCCCAAGTACTATAAGGTGCAGTGCAATTAGCAAATATCATGCTCTCTGCAGAGACTATGGATGCAACTCACAGGGAAAACAGCTAGCTAGATTCTTCATTTACTGACTCCTCCACCAAAACTGCCCTTTTCTTCAGGAAGAACTAAATATGGAGTAAAGAACAGAAACCTGGCCAGATTCAGCTTATGATTCAGCTTCTGGCTGACTACTACTTCTGTGGCTGAAATAATCACAAATGATCTGGAAAGGAGTGTTGAGAAGGTGACACAATTGTCTCGTGAGGAGCCAGGAGAACTAGCAGGGAAGAGTTGCAAAAGAACCTCGCAGCGCTGAGCGCGTGGGCAGTAAGTGTCAGATGAAATTGAGCTGATAACTGCAACGTCAGGCTAGGGCAATGATGAGGCCTGCAGTTCTGACTCCATGTAGTACGACAGACTCTGAAACAGCTTTTACCACTCAGAAAACCAATGGTGGAACTAGAATAGTTCTAACGCTAACATTGGATTCAATGGTTAGGAGCAAAGCAAAAACCCCCAAATTTTAGGAGTAGAAAAGAATGAAAGAGCAAAGAAACAGCATTATGGCTGTAGTAAAACAAATACCTGTCTTGAACACTCTGTGCAGTTCTAGTCCCTTGCTGTCCAGGACCCTCCATTTCAAGGGCTTTAATAGAACTAGAAGAGGCACAGAGGAAGGCAGCCAGGATGATTACTGGTGTAGAATGGCTTCCATGCTGGAATGGTGAAATAATTTAGACTCTTAACTCTGGGAAGGAGAGAAATGAGTAGCTTATGACAGATATACACAGTCATGAGTGCATGAGAGTGTATCTGGATCTGTTGTGTATGGTTTCTCAAAAGAGGACAATGGAGAGGACATAAAATTATCAGAGGACATTTTTTCAGGAAACACCTAAAAAAAATTATCTTTTTTCACACAGCTCTAATTATTTACATGGCAATTGGACAAATTCATAGGAGAAGTCCATGAAATACAAAGATAACCTCCTCAGGGCAGGAAGTCCTGCAGTCCCAGGTGGCCAGGAGGGTTAGTGCAGAAATACTGTCTTGTGCTTGCCTTCTTGCTAGTCTTTCTGGTGCTAACTGCTAGCAGAGGCAGAGAAGCTCTACAAACATTTGTTTCCCCTTCCCTTAACTTGTTTTCCGTACATTTCGATACAGTTGTACTGTGGCTCGATGTCCTGGACTAGACAAACTTAATCATTCACTATAACCCATGCCACCGAACGGCAAATGGCCTATTCTTACCGCGTTACTCTTTGCAAAGGCCCACCAGCGTGCCCCCAGTTTAGGGTTAATTGCCAAAAAGAGCCCTACTGTTCCCTGCTGGGACCCCTGGCTGTCCTACCTGACCTCCAGCAAACACACAGGATTGCTTTGCACAGCTCTGCTGACTCCCCCGGAGTGAGCAGCACCCATGCGGT